CATCTCCCAACCTGCAGGTCTTGCTGGGTGTTCCTCGTCTGCAGTGGTTAGTGAACCACTGACAGGGTCATGGTTGCCCAAGGCTCACCAATGACGAGGTTGACCAACTATGTATTTTACTTTTAAATTTTATTCAAAAGATTCCATTTTGTTTGAATCTCTGTTAAAATGGTTAAAATGAGAAATACTGTACAGTGGTCTCTATGAAGAGAAACATTCAGCGACTATAGTGGGGATATCACATCTAGAGTGGTGAGGCTCTCGAACTTGTCCTGACAACCACAGTTTTCATTCCTTTTACATACGTTTTTTCCACTGAATGATGGACAAAGTTGTGCTCCTCCTGACAGTAGAACTATGAAAAGCAAATTGATTCATCAGAAGATGTACAGTGAGCTGTAGAGTGAACCAAGTGCCAACCAGCTGCTGTATTGACTCCTGTGTGCACAGTGAACCACAGGTGGTCATAATGTTATGGCTGATGTGTGTATACACATATACACACACTGTACTGTACATACCTGCCCCTCTCTCAGTATTAGGGCTGCTCTCTGGGGCGACAGAGTGGGGTTGGGCTGCTGCAGCAGGAGTAGGGGGTGATGGGTAATAAGGTGGCATCTCATTCTCATCTCCTGACAGGCTCCTGGGGACACCCATCACCACAACACTGGAGAGACTGACGGGTCGCTTGGCGATGGGAAGCTTCCTCTCTGCAAGAAAGAAGGTAAGGTTGGTTTTAGCTAAAAACATGCAGATTTCTGCTGTACACTCTGATATGGGCCTTTCTTAAAGTTATAATCTGCTATCCGTTCTTACAGATGTCAGCGTTGCTGCTCTGACTCACTGTAAACTCTTTCAGTCTGCTGTTGCAGGAGGAGCTGCCAAAAAAACTGAGAGGGTAAACAGACACTTTTTTCCTTGTAGCACTTAAAATTTTTATCTCCTCCATCTAATTTTTTACTCTAAACACAAACTTGTAAAAATTTTAGCTTTTTCTAAGTTCAGCTCAGTTAGGCTCCATTAATTTAGATGTAAAGAAATCTTTTAAACCAAATGATCACATATGATTAATTCATTATATAAATTCATTTATTCACACAGACAAATCACAACATATTATTATAACTGTCAAAACATGAACTCAGAATGGTGTAAATCAAGCCAAGCCAAACACTTCTATTAGATTTCTAAGAGACAGTCAGTTTATTCACTGTGACCCACTTGATGGATCTTTGTCTTTTCACATGTTACTGTCAAACCTTCACAGTCATTTGAGTGTACGGAGGAGAAAATCAGGTTTTAGAGAAACAGAAAGACTTACTTTTCTTTTGTCCCTTGTACTGCTGAGATTTCTTTCTCTGTTTGGACACTGCTGATTGTAGCTCTCTGGAACCTGAAACTCACATACAACTGAATATGTGTCTAATGTCATCAAGATAAATCACAGCATTTTTTCTTCACACTACAGCTGTTGTTGTTTTAGTATAGAAAAGCACAGCTGAATTAGATTTCCACATTTTAAAACACAAGAAAGCACAAATACATCTACATTGTGTAAATAAGTAGTAACGAAGTAGTTACAGCTGAGGTTGAGTTAATGCAAGTCTGAGGAATGAATGTAAGTCACGTGCGTGTTACCTGCATTAAGAGCAGGAGGCTGCAGCTGGTATCCAGTCAGCTGACACCAGCCGACCGGGTACAGGTCAGGCGACTCACAGTCCACCCATTGGTCGTACTCGTCCTCCCAGCCATCAAAGTGTATTCGTAGCAACCGGTGCACAATGCGGGTTACCGTAGCAACACAGACCAGCCGGGGCTCCATGAGGTCCACAGCTTCCAGCTTCATACCAGGACGGAAACCATGGTTAGGTACGTCCTGATGGAAGAAAGGGACATGCTGGACTTCACCGATAATACATGACATGTGATCTATTTTACTTCATTTACACATTAAAAATTACAGACAGGTTTCTTCATTTCCTGTCTATGTTTCCACACATCATGACACAATCTCAATCTAGGCAAGTACAAAAATGGAGGATACAGTGCCTTGCGAAAGTATTCGGCCCCCTTGAACTTTGCGACCTTTTGCCACATTTCAGGCTTCAAACATAAAGATATAAAACTGTAATTTTTTGTGAAGAATCAACAACAAGTGGGACACAATCATGAAGTGGAACGAAATTTATTGGATATTTCAAACTTTTTTAACAAATAAAAAACTGAAAAATTGGGCGTGCAAAATTATTCAGCCCCCTTAAGTTAATACTTTGTAGCGGCCAACACAAACTAGACTTTTTCAGTAATTTGTTGCTTTGCTTTCCTTCATCAAAAGGACCTAAACAATTGTTAACCTCAGCTCGAAAATGATTTTCAGAACTCAAAGATCTCCGGTACAGCCTAACACTAAACAATTCCTCATGATCTGCCTCTGCAGGGGTACTAATGCCATCGGAGCCACACTGTATAAAACAAATACATGAAACGATCGATTTAATTCATGTAGACTGATGAATGCACTTTTGACTGTTTTGGCATTTTGTGATGTGACTTTGTGGTGTTGGGTGCCTTTAATCCTTGTGTATTTCATCTCACTCCAACAGTGTGTGAATACATTTTATATACTTCTGTTTGCAGGAGTGTGTGTGTGTGACAGACAAATAACATATGTACAATAGGTCAGAACAAAACTATCTGCCCAGTTAATGTAATTGTAATATGATCGTTAAATTGGCTCATGGATAGATGTTAAAACGAACCACCCTGTTGTTTATCTGTATTCAATGGCCCGTGAGTCAAAATTCACACCTAAAGTCATTCAAATGAATCATCATTAGCGTGGAAGGAAAATACTTAAACAAGTCTCACTCATCCACTAACATGAATTAGCGAATTGCGTGTTTGCTTAACTGCAACTAACAAAACGAGGATGTAGGTAAATATTGAAATTCCCTTCGATTGGTGGCCAGTCTGTAAAGCACCGGGTGAGCAGGCGCTCCCTATTGATGAGCTTCAGCTAATCCATCGCATTTCCCTGTAAATAGCTTTCTGCATGAGAAAGAGACCCCCCCCCCCCCCCC